AAATTGCTATGTTCGTTTCCAATTTCACCAAACAAGGAAGGATTTTTCGTCATTCAAGCCAAGAAATAAGCTAAACCACACTCAATTCCGGTTTAGCTGTCCATGGTTTAAACCGGTTAGTTCCGTGTCTTCTCGGTCGGAGACAGCGGTGGCGAAATGTAATATGTTTGATTACGCGGTGAGTTCAGGCGGCGATGTGGAGGCTGAGCATCCAGTGGATGATAAAGAGTTTGTGCGTTGGTTCCGTGAAGCTTGGCCTTATCTTTGGGCTCACCGTGGCTGTACATTCGTCGTTATTATCTCCGGCGAGATCCTTTCCGGTTCTTACTGTGATCCTGTTTTGAAGGTACCGTTTTTATTTCAGTCTCCCTTGTGTTTGAGTTTATGAGAAAGAAGCACGCAAGGTGTTCGACTGTTTGTCTCAGTGAAAGTTGCTATTTTTTGCCTCTCTAAAGTCGACATTTTTGTTAAATTATCAGTCTTAAGAGTTCAAGTTTAGTTAAAATTTTGTTCAATTATTGGTATGTATGTTCAAATTTTGAATCTTTAAGAGTTTTTAATTACCGTAAGTTTTCATTTTGTTATGTTTATGATCTTCGGTTTAAGTTCTCGTAAGGTGAATATTTTGATTTTTGTGCAGGACATTGCGTTTCTTCATCATCTTGGAATAAGATTTGTTCTAGTTCCTGGAACTCAAACGCAAATCGACCAGCTTTTATCTGAGAGAGGTCAGAAAATAGATAGAACTCTTGCCTCTAGACTAGAAATTGCTCTGTGTCAAGTCCTTGTTTCATCGGCCACGAGCCTAATGGTGTGTGTGAGTTGCAGGACGGGAGGCTACATATGTGGGTCGTTACAGAGTAACGGATGCAGCATCGTTGCAGGCTGCTAAAGAAGCTGCAGGAGCAATATCAGTGATGCTTGAGGCCAAACTATCTCCTGGACCATCCATTTGTAATATTCGCAGGCATGGTGATAGTAGTCGTTTACATGATATTGGTGTCAGGGTTGACACCGGTAACTTCTTTGCTGCAAAAGTGAGGTTTCGCTTTTCTTAATTTCTTCATACATCCTTGAGTCTCATCATATTTGTTCTCTATGACTGATTATCTTTGGTCTTGTTGTTGATGGTATAGAGGAGAGGTGTTGTTGATGGTGTTGATTTTGGAGCGACGGGTGAAGTGAAGAAGATAGATGTAGATCGGATATGTGAGAGGCTTGACGGCGGTTCTGTAGTTTTGTTGAGGAACTTAGGCCACTCTAGTTCCGGAGAAGTCTTAAATTGCAAGTATGCTCAGTTGACTTCCGAGAAATGTTTCCATTAACCTTAAACAGATTTAATTTTTCTCACTCTATAATATTGACACACCTTTACTTATGCAGTACTTATGAGGTTGCGACAGCTTGTGCATTAGCTATAGGAGCAGATAAGGTTATTTGCATAATGGACGGTCCAATTCTTGATGAGAGTGGACATCTTATTCGTTTCTTGACACTTCAAGAAGCAGATATGTTAGTTAGAAAACGGGCACAACAAAGTGACATAGCTGCAAATTACGTGAAGGCTGTTGGAGATGGAAGTATCACTTATAACGAGCCTCTTAACAGCACCAACGGTAAGAATCCCTCTCCTCACAACGGGAGAGCAGCATTTTGGGGAAACGGAAACCACACTCCGATCTTTCAGAACGGTGTTGGATTTGACAATGGGAATGGGTTGTGGTCTGGTGAGCAAGGTTTCGCTATCGGAGGTGAGGAAAGACTAAGCCGCTTAAACGGCTATCTTTCTGAATTGGCTGCTGCGGCGTTTGTCTGTAGAGTGAGTATTCTTTAAACCTTGTTCTTGATTCTGTTTCCTCACCATTCAACTAAAACCATTTGTTTTGCTTTCATTGAAGGGTGGAGTAAAAAGAGTTCACTTGTTGGATGGTACTATAGGTGGAGTTTTATTGTTGGAGCTTTTTAAAAGAGATGGAATGGGAACTATGGTTGCTAGGTACAATATCTGCATTCCCTTTGTCTTCGCTCGCGTATCATTCCGGTTTAGTGTTCTTACAATTCTATATCGTTATGCGCAGTGATGTTTACGAAGGAACCCGAGATGCCAAAGTGGAAGATCTTGCAGGAATTAGACATATAATCAAACCCTTAGAGGAATCTGGGATTTTAGTTCGCAGAACCGATGAGGAGGTTAAAGCTTACTATCTTTCACATTTCATCGACTTCTTACACTCTTAAAAGTTTAATCTTTGACTGCAGTTACTGCGAGCATTGGATTCGTTTGTTGTTGTCGAAAGAGAAGGTCAGATCATCGCTTGTGCGGCTCTGTTTCCCTTCTTTGAAGACAAATGCGGAGAAGTTGCAGCAATCGCGGTTGCATCAGATTGTCGAGGTCAAGGCCAAGGCGATAAATTGCTCGGTAAACAAACAAACTCAAAACATTCAAGTTTTGCAAACACTATAGAAACATCAAATGACACACATGTTGTTTTAACAGATTACATAGAGAAGAAAGCATCGTCTATCGGATTAGAAAGGCTGTTCCTACTAACTACACGAACCGCGGATTGGTTCGTGAGACGCGGGTTTCAAGAAACCTCTATTGAGACGATACCGGAAACCAGAAGACAAAGAATCAATCTTTCAAGAAAATCAAAGTACTACATGAAGAAATTACTACCTGATCGAAGTGGCATTTCAGTTATGAGAATGTAAAAAACAACAAGAACACAACAATCCATTTGTAAAATCTTTCAAAATTCGATCTTTAAAAGTTCCGAAAAAACGCGACAAATATTATTCGATCATAACAATAATTTGTTAAAATCTCATTCCAAAGCTGAAATAGCACCTATGGCTTTGAGTTTCTCCATGATCAGATTAGCTTCTTCTTTGGTAAGACCTTTCTTGATGATCACTGGAGCTTTCTCAACAAGTTCTTTAGCTTCTTTCAATCCCAAGTCCGTTAAAGCTCTGATCTCTTTAATGACTTTGATCTTTACAGCTGAATCGAATTTCTCCAGCTTCACATCAAACGCAGTTTTCTCCGCCGTTTTAGTCTCCGTAGATGCGTCGCCATCGCCGCTGGATCCGACGGGGATAGATACGGCGGAACCGTAGCGATTGAGACCTAGTTTGTGGCTGAAGAGGATTGAGTAATCGTGAAGCTCGATCCTGTTTAGTTTGAGTAAATCGTCGGCGATTCTCTCGAGCTTCTTGGTTCGATCTTCGGGAGAAGCGACGGCGGAGAGGTGGCGTGTGGCGGCGGGAAATGGTGATGTACGGTGGAGGAAACCGATGGATCTGGAGAGAAATGCGGAGATCGGAGCACGCATTTTCGCCGGTGAGGGAGGTTTTTTTGCTAGGGTTTTTCGCCGTCGGTTCCAATTTCATTTCATTTTGCCGTTGTTGCATTTTGGCTAATCGAATTTAATGGGCTTTATGTAGCCCATTTAATGAGGCCTATAGAGAAGTCAACATTTCAGTGAAAAAAAAAAATACCATTTCAGCTTTTGATTATGTGATTTAGTTAAATAAATGAGGAATTTTTTTAACGTAAGGTAATATGGGCCGAAACCTCGATAAACATTTTGGTTTGAGTGTAGTTTTCGATAATCCATTCACCAAATTTGTTAACTATACAGAGAATTTTAATTATACATGTGATCACCAAACAAATTCTATGTATAATAGAATCAAGATATGATAAATTTCTATATAGACGTGATGCATATACAAGAACCCTCGATTTTAATGGTTGTAAATATATATGGGACAATGAGATAACTAATATGCACCTTTTTATGATTTAGCATTTTTCCATTATACAATAAGAAATTGTTTGTGACCAAAAACAAAAAACAAAAAGAAATTGTCGGTGACACTTTTTATTGCGCATCATAAACAATTAGTTCAAGTTATCAGATAAATCTAAAACTTATAGAAAACTTTTGAATATTGTGGACAGCTTAATAAAAACGTAATTTACTCTGTCTTGAAAATTATCGGTTATATTGCTTACACCAAATTTTTGAGTCAAAATGATCTTGTAGCCATCTTTTTTCTTTTTTTTTAAATACCTTGGAAGTTCATCTTGTAGCCATCTCTTCAACAAACGAACAAAAAGACATTATTTCTTAAAATTAAACTTTATTAAAAAAATTTAAAGAATACTGCTAAAAATTTGTGTGAGTTGAAAACTAGTTTCTGATTCTAAGATCATTGCACGTATTTTGAAAATATAACGGTTATAAACAAGTTGCATTGCGCAATTCGTCATGAACATGTGATGAATATATAGTGCCACGAGAATGTTCTTAAAAAACTTGTGATTGACAGTGTCAATAAATAATTTTTGGTCACGAAACGACTAAAAACCTAGTTCTTTCTATTAGTACAAAAAGCTCATTTCTCTTGATTAGGTAATACAAATGTGTTATTCTTGAGTCTCTCTATATATAATTTAGGGTTTCTATTTTTTTTGTTACAACATTCAATTGATCTGACTCATAATAAAAACAAAGTGAAATAGTTAAAGCACCCTTAAATTAACCTTAATTAACTTCATAGGATTAATTGAGATATTCCCTATGAATTTAGGCATTTTTCTAGTTACATCATAGATGTGTAATGGTCAAGTCGTGGTACAAAAGGGACCCAACAAAGTTTTGATTCTAGTTAAAGCAAAAAATGGGCCAACCAGTAGATTGTTATTTAATTAATATGCTTTTTACATGACTTTATAAACAAGAAAACAGAACCAAAAGAAGATAGAATTTTTTAAAAAGATTAGCTTAAAAGGCGAAGCTAAAGATCGTACCAATATATAACATGGGGGAGGCAAAAACCTCATCAAAAGATGCATGGAGATAGAGAGTTGTAGTGAAAACCAGCCACATATCTCAAAAGCAGTTCCCACTACT